TATATATATATATATATATATATATATGCATTTGTGTATGTATGTAGGTGACAGTATATATATATATATATATTATGAATTATATCACGGTACATTGAAGAGATGAACCGTCAGATACGTTGATTTGAAAGAAACAAAAAATTAAGGGAAAAAAGTAAAAAATATTTAAGCAAGTTTGTAGTAATATTCAAATTTTTTGATTCGAAATATTATAATGAAAATAATGTTAAACTACGAAATACATTATTATTATTCAATGGCCTTTATTACCAGTATGTCATTATTTCATGTGTAGAAAAAAAGAAAAAACAAAAAAAAATGTTATTAAACTAAGAAATGAGAAATGAAATAAAAGTGGGTGCAACTCCCACAAAAGAGAAAAAAAAAAACTCCATGTTTCTCAGATGTTAACAGAGTTGAACCCCTTTAGAGTGGAGTTAGTTCCGAGTTGTTAGCTTAGATCTGAATCTCTTTAATCTCTGTCAAGATCAGTGATTGGGATCTCTATTATACTTCGTAGTATTGAGGCGTGTCTTAACCAGGAAACAGTGAAAGTAATTTCACTGTTCCCTGGTCCTAACCAAATCACCTCATATTTTTGTAGCTTCTGATTGGATCATAGAGAAATTCTTTCTCTATGATTTAATAGCTTGTTGCAATTTAAATATTTAAGAGGGATCACTTATGTGAAACTTTTGGTTCAAAACCAAACCAAGTTGAGACATTCAACAGGTGAAGGGTATCTATAAACAAATTCCAATGATCATGTAAGTTAATACAATTATATTTATTTATTTATTTACAAACGTATTTTACATGGATAACATTTTCATAGAAATTATGTTCTAACAAATGGTCCATGAAATAAATATGAATCTAACAATTATAAATAACAATGTTATGTTTAAATACATAATATTTAAATTTGATTATACATAGACAAAATAATTATTTTACCAAAAGTACGATTTTATTTTGAATAAGATATTGAACTTTAATACTACATTACAATATGTATATATATATATATGCATATATATATATGCATATATATATATATATATATAATTTATATATGAATCACATGATTGAATCTCCACTGGTAATAATTAAATAGGCCTATATTTTTTTGAAAACTTTCTGAACTAGTATTCGAACCCAATACAGTATTTTTATTAATAAGTTATAATCTTAGTTAGAAATCAATTAAAATTTGTTTTAAAAATTTACAAAACAAACGAATACAAGCCTATTTCTTGAAATTCAGGTTTTCAGTTATTACAAACATGCGTGAAAAACATCTGAAGCTCTTCGTGGATAACTTGCACTGGCATATGAACCTCGTTTGGTAAAGGATACGCAAGATTCATTGCCCATATATCAATAAAATGCAGACCCATTCCTGAAAAAATTTCCTGTAACATGCGACGAAATTCAAAAAGCATACCGTTACTGGACATTGGAATAATCCCACCATAACCGTGGAATTGTGGGTGTGAAGTTTTGATTATGACTGGGGCGTCCGGACATCTGGCTCTAAAACGTTTAATCGCACTTTTGATATAAAGAAGTCTCTCAGTAAATGAAATACGAGTCCATTGGCAGTAATGAGCCCATGGACTTATGACTACTATATACTCACAATCGGATGACGTAAGGTTATCAAGTAAATCAGATTCGAATTGACCGTCATGAACACATTCTTTGACTGAACCTAACCAATATTTGTGAAACCTGAATTGAAAATTAATTATTCCATTATGCAACTGAGTATGAAATCGCGAATACGTTGTTGGTTTAAGGCCGAGAATCCTTAATAGCTCGTCAGCCCATTGTCTTGTTGTTGAATCTCCGGTAAAAAATACATGTTTCCCACGTAAACATTTTTTAACTTGACCTGCAGTCCATCGCTTAGTGTCGCATGCAAATGAATTCCACTTTTTGCCAGACCAAAATCCATCACTTAGTGGTAGGGGTAAATCTGGTCCACACGGACGCATGCTTATCACATCTCTGATGTTCTTGGCTTCACGTATCCACTTCACTTCTATAATAGTAGAAACAACAATGAACATTTGAAAAGTGTTGAAATCTATTAAAAATTAGAAACTGTATAAAATTAATGTTAAAGTTTTGCCACAAAAGTTAAAATCCACTGCTCTGCCTTTGTATATGTAAACTGATATTTTTATCAAAGGCTTGATGAAGATTTATTTTTATATGGTTCATAAATAAACAATTAATTAAAAATTTAACTTAGTGGAAGCGGTTTTTGCATAGGTTGTAGACCACGACGCATTCTCAAAACTTTGTTTTTTGGCAAAGCTCTTTAGTGTCGTGTCTATCTACCAAGGAGCGCGAGATTTAAATTAAAAAAAAAACAAGATGTTACAGCTGTATCACATCACTAATAGTCAGGGGCGTATCCAGAGATTCCGAAAAAAGAGTTGTGCGGTACCTCTCCCTAAATCCGCCCCTGCCAGTGCCAGTGAACTAAAACATAAACAAATAGGCCTAAAACACGTCATTTTATACAGTGGCGGATCCAGAAAGACCACCTTAGCCCCACCATGGAAATTTTATGATATGGCACCTCTAGATGGCACTATCAGACCTAAATTTGAATTATATTTTTTCTCCATTTTTTATTAATTTTGAAAACTTTAGGTGGGGAGGGGGTGGCAGCCGGCTCGATCCCCTTGAATCCGCCAGTGTTGTGTACAACCATTAAATAAATATAAATTCTAATGCAGAAGTACGTACTAATAAGGTTTAGTAGCTGACGTGTTATATTTGTCAAGTTTTAGTTTACACAACATCAGCTGAATCTGGCCATTCGAATTCTTACCGGATTCTTGTATTATCAGCTGTTTTGGTCCATTGGCGAATTGTACATAGCTTACATTCCTCGAATAAGAAAATATGATTTATGTTAGAACAAATTTATTGGAAATATATATAAAAAAATGTTTATATGTATACAAAGAGAAACCAAAAGATGTTAATATAATTATGTTTAAAATTGAGAAAAAATATATTTTCTCTAATTATATTAATGTTACTGGATAAGCTGAAATAATAGTGACACATAACTATATTTGTGTAATGTGTATTTACTATGCATTTGATATATTGATTTGGTACTTGAAAATATGTCGTACTGTAAAAATATATCAGCATGTTTCTCTCGAAGTTGATTGAAGATGGCGGCTTTAACATCAACACCACTGTCTTTCGATGTGAGTGTTACGAGAGAAGAACATGGAAGAGTTTTCGGTTTCTCGCAAAGTAAAGTGTTTCCACCGAGAGCGCCTGGCTCTGGGAATTCGCATTTGTTGTCCCACGTTCCAACAGATTTTACTTCACACAGTGTAACTTCAGAATCGTTGTTATGCGCAAAAGTGCCTGTCCAAAATACACGCTTTTCCATCGGCCATAAAACAGTCTTTAAAAAGTGAAGTGCTTCAAAAGTATGTACTAGTATAATGTTTATCTTTGTGATGCCCGTCCAAGCCGCAAAGAAAATAACTTCGTATGTGCCATTATTAAAGTCGATTACTTTTCCAACTATACTTGAATCAGTGCTTGTTAAAGTTGCAAACAAAAAATCGCCACCCCGCACTCGCTGTCGACCGTACTGATCATGCGCGTTGATAATTATGCTAAATGTTTCTCCTCGTCGGATAATTTGGCGAGTAAGATTAAAGATACTTTTCTTAACATCTATTAGCCCCATTCTGTGTAAATCACTTCCCCGTGTGAATACAGAAGGCGCATCAAGTCGCTGGTTTAAATTCAGGAATGATTATGTTTTGAGTTTCTGTGTTGTGCCAATTTCTTGGAATTATAAAAGACTTTTTTATATCAGTCTTAAACGTAGGCAGAGTAAGTAATGCCATCTGTAAAGAGAATAAAATATGGATTTCCAAATAATGAATATTTTCATAAGTTGAAAAATGGATTGTTCCATTATATGCTTTTATAATACACCTAAAAATAAAATAAATTCTTGTCATTTTGAAATTGTATAAAAAAAAAGTGGAACAGTTAATCTTCTTTTAGCCATCGAACACAATGTTGTTTTTGAATCCGGGTGTGTGAAAAAAAAGTATCATGGTTCTCCGTTATTTGCCGTGCGATTAGAACAAGTGTTGTTTAACTACGCATGCGCAGAATGAGTGAGAAATGAGCTGCTTTAATCGGATTTGAATTTGCCACGATGTCTCAATGACTAAGTTGGTTGAGGCGTCTGCATAGACAGGGAAGGTCTCGGGTTCGAATCCCAACTGAGGTAGCGTTTTATTACGAAAATCTCATTCTAACGAGTTTTCAGGGCAAACTAGCTTTCCCACCTCCGCTGTTGCTGCCTCAACTTTTAGGCGTCTTTTAAAAGTGTATGGTGAAATCATAGCCTATCTATTCGGACGAAACTCAAGTATCAAGCCTGCATTCTAAGCATACTTCTGTATGGATCACAAACATGGGTAACATCGAAGACAGGAACACAGATTAAACAGCTTACATATCATCGACGCTGATTTCCGGTCACTTAGGTGGCTCGGTCAGGTGCCAGAAAACCAAGGGTTGCTAGTTAGGCCGGTGCCAATCCCCCTCCCCCAGTCAGGCGGAAAACTGCCCCACCCTCCTCCACCAGAGAGAAAAACCACAATCCGTTGGGAAGAAAAATAATGTATATGTATGTATCTTCCAATAATTAGTAAACTCTAAATCGATTGAGAAAGTAAACGTAAACTGTTTAGGCTGTGCCAAACTTAATTTCATCGCGATGATTTTAAAAATGCTCGTAGATATTTTAAGCAACTCTGTGGGTTAAAGTACTCCTTTCTGAATGAAAACCCTAAACGCTTTTGGTCCTGGGTTAAAAGTAATTACAAGCAAACTGCTCCATTTTTGCTGCGTTATGGAACCACTAAAGCTGCTACTAATAAAGACAAAGCAACTATTTTTAATTTATTTTTTCACTCCGTTTTTACTGACATTCAAGTCACAGCCTTTCCAGAACTTACTCAATAGGTTCTCTTTCAAATAGTTTAGTTGATTCGAATCATGTTGAAAAACTACTCGCGGGTATTAAGGCCTCCGGCTGTGACAGGCTGAGTAACAAGGTCCTGAAATTTTGTGCCAAACCTCTTTCTCTTCCTCTTTCCTATATTTTTCAACTTTCTCTTAGTTCTGGAGTTTTCCCCTCTGATTGGAAACGTAGTAATATCTGTCCTGTTTTCAAATCTGGATCTCGTGTTTTAGTTGAGAATTAAATAACCTAATTCTTTATTACCTACACTTTCTAAAATCTTTGAAAAAATCGTGTTTTATTATATTTCTTCTCATATATCATCTGTTCTTAATCCTTTCCAGGATGGCTTTGTACCTGGTAGGTCGTGTCAGACCAATCTTGCAATGATGCTGTCTGTTGCCTATGAAGCATTTGATGCAAAATGTCAGTGTGACATAGTGTATACTGACTATTCTAATGCGTTCGACAAGGTCTGCCACGACCTACTAGTGCACAAACTTAAGAAATTTGGCATCTCTGGATCTCTTACGTATAATGGATTTACTCCTAACTGGCTGCCTGTCACATCCGGAGTCCCACCAGTATCTATTAGGACCTTTGTTGTTCACAATATTTGTCAATGATGTTCCTGATATATTCACATCTTCGCATTGCCTTCTGTTTGCCAATGACATCAAATTATTTCGCATCGTCAAAAACTTAAACGATTGTCATCTTTTACAACAGGATCTGGAAAGGCTGTATAATTGGTTTTCTACTTGGAAAATGTCTCTCAATCCACGTACGTGTCAGGTTCTTACATTATCTCTTAAGAAACTTTTAGTTAATTATGATTACAACATTAATGGTTCGTTAATTGAGAAGGTTAATGTTCAAAAAGATCTTGGAATTTACATTGATTCTAAGCTTAATTTTAACTAACATGTTGACTATATTGTATCCAATGGTAATAGGATGCTGGGCATATTTTTTTCTCTCTCTTGTTAAACCATTTTTTTATTTTTCATCTTCGACTTATAATTCTGTTTGTATTTCTCAATCAAATCGCATAGAACGAGTTCGATCCAAATTTATGTATTTTATTAATTATAGCAACGTTAATGCCCCTATTCATCTCTTACCACTTCACACTAGAAGGTGCACGTTTGATATGGTCTTCTTTTATAAATGTTTCAACTTGCTTTTTACTTGCCCACTTTTATCTTTATTTATGTTAAAAATACATAGACCCACTTTACGTAACACTGACTTATTCTCTGTTCCCCTTACCAGGGTCAATGCTACTAAACACGGTTTTATTCACAGACTCTCCTATAACTAAAATACCATTACACGTAACAACACCTCTATTGACATATTTTTTAACACTATTTCCACGTTTAAATCCGAAGTTGCTAATTCAGTATAGGCTTTCTTTAGTTAAGCTAGGGAACTCTCTTTATTGTCGATTTGCTTCCTTTGTATGTTATTGTTTGTGTCTTACTATATTTTATATATTGTATGTTTAAGACATCCTGTAATTGGCGATTCCGCTGTTGGATTTAATTGAAATAAAATAAAATAAAAAATAAATAAAAAAATTTGGTTTTTCTCCCCGACGGGGGTTGGAGGAACGCCTCCCTCCGACGCTCCGACGAGGGGCCCTGCGCCCTGCCCCCCGTCCCTCGCTGGCGCCGCCCTTGATCATATCAGTATTGATACTAGTAAACTGCTCATTGATTGCATTAGCAATGCTAATGATCAGTATGAGCGATTCCCGGTATATTAATATTTAAACTACAACTTTTCCTTAGGACTGTTAAAACTTTGATGTCATGAACATTTTTTCTAAGCCCCGCCCCTTGGATAATGTTGCTAAGGTCCTAAAACATGTAGTGTTTTCTTAGCACTCTTGTGATTGGTCAGTTGTTAAGTTTGATTGGTACTACGGAAAGATCCATCATTATTACTAGGCTGTGCTTACCAAGTAAAAGCTGAAGCATGCCATGATTCCTAGAATTGGAAGAAAACACCGCGATTGCTGACAACACCACATCCTGTATCTGAAAACCGCACTAGAAGAAAGGACGAGAACATTAAAACGAGAAGCTCTTAGTTAAATCTGATTAAGTAATAATAATAATAACAATAATAATTTTGGCTTATATAGCGCATTATGCTAAAGCCTCAATGCGCTTAACAGTAAAAATAAAATTCGGGGGAAAAAAATTAAGAAAAATACAAGTTAAAAAGGTGAGTTTTTAAAGCTGCCTTAAAATCATCAATGGAAGTTGCCTGTCGGATTGTAATAGGCAGGGCTTAAAGTGACCAAACGGGCAGCTGCATTCTGAACTCGCTGAAGTTTTGAAATATCCTTAGCTGGCAATCCATAAAGCAATGAGTTCAACGATCCAGCCTTGATGTTACAAAAGCATGAACGAGAATCTCTGTTGATCTAGGATCAAGGTACTTCCGGATACTCCAAATTCTACGAATTGACTGAAGCCCGGCTTTACAGAAGTTGTGTAGGCAAATTATGTATGTAAAATAGAGAACAAGTAATATGAAATGTATTTTAATAAATCATGAATATTAGTGACAGTTATCAATTGATTGATTAACACAAACAGAGCGTAAAAATAGTACTGTAAGTTGGATAAAGCTATGTATATCAAAAAGGTATAATACAATTAGATAACATGATAATGAAATACAAAATAGGCATAAAATTATTACTATTATTATTATTGTTTATAATTATGATCATCAATATTATTATTACTATTAGGCCTATTATTATTATATTTATCATTATCATCATAATTATATATTATGAGAATATTTTTTAAAATCAAATGAAAATTTATCATTCCTATAATAATTGTTATTCAGGTTTATTAAAGAATTTTATCTGGTTCTAAGTTAAGTGTAGGCCTTATGCTGTGGTGCCAGCAGGTAACACTCATCAAGACCAAACCCCAAGTCGAACACGACTCGTCGTACCAAAACAAAATCTTCAGGCATCAATACGCCTTAGAAAAAGAAGGAAGAAAAATGCACATAATTGCGCCACGGACCCTGATCGAAATCTGATGTTTATGGCCTCGGTACAGTATTATTCAAAATTTACTAGACATAAATACATTCCGGGAATGTAGAATACCAACATTTCAGTATTTTATACCTGGATGCCCGGAAATGGAACTTAAATTACCTTTTAATTCTTTCTATTTTTACGAATTGAGTAAAAAAACCCCAAATGATTAAATAGGTACCCGAAAATGAAACTTAAATACTTAAAATTCTAAAACTACCATATTCAACTACGTCCAACCATGGTTGGACTCAGTAAGAACATTTTGAGAATTTCAGATACGTTAGATGCCCAAAAATAGCACAAAAATAGTACAAAATTTACGATATCTACATGAGCCCCACCATGGTTTTGGGGTGCAGATGAGTTTTTCTTTTCTTTCTTTTTTTTTTAAATAAAATTAAATGACCTGACTTCAAGTAACAAACAAACCAGTCAACTTCGTCTGAATGTAGTAGTACCCACCCTAAGCTGTCTTAATTATAGTTTGCTGTAACCTGGATGTCCTCTTGGCGACAACAGCGGTCCCTTTGAAGTTGCTGAAAAACGCAGCAACTTTTCGACATTTACCACGTGTTTGGAAAAGGAGGCGTGGTGTGTGGGGGAAAAGACGAATTTATATAGAAAAAATTTGAAATTATT